TGATAATTATAGTGTATATGTGCGCTTTCTTTTCATCCAGTTAATCAATTTTTTTAAATAATATTTTCTCTTGAATATTCTCGCGCCACCCCTCCAGTGTGCTCGCGCCCCCCTAGGGGGGCGCTCCCCACAGGTTGAGAATCACTGGACTAGGTGATAGAAGGCGACAAGAAATGTGGCGTCAAACATATAATTTAAGTTAAGACATTTTAAAACACGAGATTAAATACTTTTGCCTAGATTTATTTATGCATTTTATTCATCTAACGCCTATTTTAAAGAAATAAAAATACTGTTTTCGCCTAATGGATTTGTTGCGTATTGTAATTAATTTCATTTTTTTATTGAAAAACACATCGATGTTGATTAAGTTTTAAAGTTTAAGTTTTATTTTTTATTTATTAAGTAACCACTTTTAAGAAAAAATAACTCAGGACATTTCCAAAGAATTCGAAAACCTTACTGTCCTATGAGAGTGTTGTCGAGATGCCTTGACAATTTCAATGTTTTGATTGCAAGAAGAATTGTAGAAGTACATAATACCAAGTAAATTATATTTTATAATGGTGAAAATAATTTTATGAATGTTCCTATAAAGTACAAGTATTATCGAATGGTATTTTTAATAATATACCAATGAAAGCAGTATTCTCAATCAATATTTTAAATGAATTTGAATTCGATGTAAAGCCAATAAACAATATTTTCTTTTCCACTAGTAACATGAAAACAGATTTAAAAAAGAAAACATGTAAAGCGAATTCATAAATAGTCAGCGCTTTCTAATTACCAGCCTTATTAGATAGATTCCATAGAATTCTTGTCAAAATAAAGTATGTAATATTTAGACGGCAATGTATATGACAAATTATTATAGAGGTCTGTCACAAATGGGATTGAAGCATTAAAACTGACTTGATTTTCTGATAAAACTGAAATATTTTTTAATTATCCCCTTTCATTACATTTCATTTTCATCATCCGAAAATGAAACTAGTTTTCATGTTTATAATTCCACCTTCATTGTTATTCATCCCGGCAATGATTCCTTAAATTTTTAACACCTTAAAAAGAATTCTTTTCTCTCTGCGAGAAATGATAATAACTTACAGTCTTCTATATCTGAGCATACAACCAATGGATTATTTCCTCCCATAATGAAACTCATTCTCTTGTTCTTGCTCTTCCCAACCGCTTCTTGAATTTGGCGACCTATCTGGAACAATACAGAGTATCGTATTAATTTATGTTTTCAAAAACATACTGGAATATATGAAACTTATATCGCAATACTACTAATTTCTTTTTTATAAGATTTTTTATTTAATTTTTTTCATTAATTATTTAATTTTTTTAAAGATTAAAAACTATCTAACTGAATAAGCATTTAGTGATTATTCTATTTCTAACTTATGTTCTTTTTTTTCGAAATTTGCTGAACTTTTTATAACTCGCCAAAGAATAAAAGTTTACCATGCACATACATCAGATTATTCATGACTCATCAGATTATTCAAGACTCATTATTCGTACATCAGATTATTCATGAACTCATGACGGTCGAAACTTACTACAATCTCAATTTTGCTTATGAACTGGTGTGCAAAAGAATTTTATTTTATTACTTTTTTCTAACTTAATGATATTTATGTNCAGCTTAAGAACCCCCCATGCATTTATTTTTCATTCCTAACACATCTAAAAATAAATCGATAAAACAATAAAAATATAATCGATGCAATAAATAACGCTATCCATGTATTTTAAACAAAGTATTTCTTTTTATATGTACCTAATATAAATCCGAAGTTCTTAACTGATTCACACCAAATTTGGTGTTCATACGTTCAAAAGTCAAGGGAACATCGGTTTTTCAAACTTGAAAAGAAAAAAAAAATAAAGAAGAAAAAATAAACTGTTTTAAGCCATAAAACTAAAAAAAAAGTCTTCCAAAAGATAAGTAAATATATTTTAAAATATCGTCACCGCGATAAACTACCATAGTACAGCTTACAGCCATATTTAATAAAAAATTAGTTTCATTGGGAGGCTATGGAAGGCCTTAAATAATTATTTATCTTTGGTTTCATATATTAGGCCAGCACAAATGAAACCAACATGGATAATTTCGTAACACATAGACTACGTCACCTATTCAGCGTTTTAAAGGAATATAAATAAAATCAAGTGTGTCTTATTTGGATACTCGTGGTTTTTAAACGAGTTTTAGGAACATAAATATCATTAAGTTAGAAAAAAGTAGTAAAATAAAATTGTTTTGCATTAAGTTCGAGTTCATGAGCAAAATTGAATTGAATTAGAGTTTTAGAAACATAAATATCATTAAGTTAGAAAAAAGTAATAAAATAAAATTCTTTTGCATTAAGTATCAGTTCATAAGCAAAATTGAGATTGTAGTAAGTTTCGACCGTCATGAGTTCATGAATAATCTGATGTACGAATAATGAGTCATGAATAATCTGATGTATATGCATGGTAAACTTTTATTCTTTGGCGAGAGTAGGGGAATTTCGGGGGTTCTGCCGCACTTGCGAATCGGCTACTGCCGCACTTAAGGTCTATGACCTCTCTACCTTGAGATACGCTCGGGGGTTCTGCCTCACTTGGAGATTTTTCTGAAATTGGGGGAGATTGCGACATCCCTTCTTTAGATAAAGGATTCCCAATAAAGCGTAATAATTTCATTAATTTTAAAAATGAACTCTTCTTCGGGCATTACATTTTTATTTATTTTAAACTACGTGTCTAAAAATTCAATTATTGATTAAATAGTTTCATAATTAGAATGTTTATATTTAATTAGGTTTCTCAGTGAGATCTCTAACGTGATAAGAAACGTTTTATTATTTATTCTTACTAGTCTTAAAATTTATCTATAGAAAAAGTATGTTCTTTAATGAATATTTTTAAAACTTGTTGTTAGAGCTGAGAGGACTTTAAATTAAATATATGAAAATGGGGACAATAATAAAACTTTATTTAAATTCTGAAAATTTATAACATTTTTATTATTTATAATTCATAAATGAAAGTTTGGAAAAAAATTACTTTCAAACCTTGGAATACTGCCTCACTAGGGGATACTACCTCACTTAGAGATTTTTATCGGAAAGTTGGTTTTTATCTACCCTTTTGGAGTACTATCTCTATAAAGCATTGAATTATTATTATTTTGGGACTTAGAATTTTTTTTAGTGTAATGTTAGTCATTAAATGAATTAATCTTATAACTCGTCATTGCCATTAATTTCATTAGAAACTTTGTTTGTATCAGAGGACGTTATAATATATGTATTAATTTTATTTATTTATTTTATTATAATTTTCACTTTCTTCAGAAAATCATAGCTATGACTTAAGATAATTTTCTATATGAAACTTACTTTATTATTTTCTATAATTTTAATGCAATTTGACAGTTTTTATTTAGCTTTATCATCTCATCAGCTGAAAAAATTATTATTAAAATGAAATGAAAAATTACGGAAAAATTATCATTCTAAGGGAGGTTGATTTATTGTACGTATTAGTTGCGTTCAAATGATGTGTTCGTAAACAATGAGAGTAATTAATTCATATTCGACTACTGCCACGGTAGAGGAAATATAACTAAACATACTTTGACAATAGATATTTTTCTAAGATTGAGAGAAATTGTGAGATCCCCTCTTCAGATAAGATTTTATCAGAAAAAAAGATTTTTTTTTTTTCATTGGAAAGTCGAAGAATTATTTTTATTTTCGGGGCTTAAAATTTTTTCGCAAGCTAGTATATTTTTGTCATGTGATTATCGTATTTTTATTAATGTGTGAATTTTTATTTTCCCAATAAAACATTATGAATACATTGATTTAATTTCTAAATAAACCCTTCTTTAGAGATGGCATTTTTATTATTTTTAAATGATATGTCTAATAATTCCTAACTGGTGAAATAGTTTCACAGTCAGGATGTTTATATTTAATTATTTGTTACAGTAAATGTGTAATAATCATTCTAAGTGATAACTATACATATTCAGTGGAATAAAATGGTTTATGAGTTAATTTCCTAAATTTGCCTACTCATTGTCAGTGATATAGTGTAATTATGATCCATTAACATTTTCCGTTTAAATTAATTCGATTAAAAAAGTTTTTGGAAATATCGATAAAAATACTGGCGTCGTTGATATTAAGCTAAGAAAGTTAAATAAGCTCATAACATCACTTTATGAATAGATTTTTCGAAACGTATGTCTCGTTTTTAATCACGTGTATACAAAAACTCTTCTGATTGGTAGTTAAAGTTAGAATAAAACTGTTTTTACTGAGAAAATTTCTGAAGTTGGAAAAACGATATTTAAAGAGTTGCAGAAAATTGGTGTTAGAAAAGCTTTCTACTTGTTTCGACTTTGAAAAATTTTTAAATTATGTGTACTTAAAAAAATTCTGAAGTTGTTTTAACATAGAAAATTATTTTAGTTGGAAAAAACGGGTATACCAGAATTTACACAAGTTTTTATTTATTTTTTCTAATTGTTCTGACTATGAAAATTTTTTTAAAAATTATTTATACTTTGAACATTTCTGAATCTGTTGGTTTTAGAAATTTTCTGAAGTTGTTCGTACATAGAAATTTTTCTTTAGTTAGAAAAAAAATTTTTTTTTATTATTTATTTACTTCATTATAGTTTCCATTTTATTCAGAACAATATTTCTATGACTTAAAATACTTTTCATTTATATTAAATCTACCTTATTATTATATAATTTTAATGCAATTTAACAGTTTTTGTTAAGCGTTTACAATTAATTGGAAAAGACAGGAGTATAAGGAATCGGAGAGGTTTCAAGTTAGGAAACAGTTGGAAAAAAATTTCCAACTGTTTGTGCTTAGAAAATTTCTGATGTTGTTATTACTTAGAAAATTTAAGTTGTTTGTACTTTGAATAACTTTCAAATTGTTTTGAGTTTGAAATATTATCAATTCTTTTTTGTACTTTTGTACTTAGAAATACTCTGAGGTAGTGTGAACATAGAATTTTTTTTTAGTTTGAAAACACGGATTATGTTAAATAAATATATTTTCAACTTGTTTGGAATTTCAGGAATTTTCAAACTTAGAAAAATGCTGATGTGTTGTTGACAAAAAGTTTCTGAAGTTGTTTGCGTATTGAATTATTTTCAAATCGTTTTGACTTTGAAAATTCTTCAAAATTTTTGTACGTAGAAACATTTTGAAGTTTAGTAAACTTGAAAATTTTTGAAGTTGCATAAAAAGGTATTTAAGGAGTAGCAGAAGTTTGTACCTTGAATAATTTTCAACTTGTTTCGAATTTAAAAAAGTTTCAAATTATTTGTACTTTGAAAAATTCTGAATCTGTAGGCGTTAGGTTAGAAAAATTATGAAATTGTTAGGACTTAGAAAATCTTTCAAATTGTTTGTGTTTAGAAATATTCTGAAGTTGTTTAAACATAGAAAATTTCTTAAGTTGGAAAAGCTTGTACATAAGGAATCGCAGAAGTTCTAAGTACAAAGTCAAAACTTTTCAAACTGTTTGTACTTAGAAAATTTCTGATGTTATTGATACTTAAAAATGTTTGTGCATTAAATAACTTTCAAATAGTTTTGACATTAAAAAAATTATAAAATTTTTCTAGAACTAATTTTTAAAAAAATCAAATTATCCAAAATTCCGAATTTTTCAAAATTAGGAGTCTTTCGAAGTTTTGTAAATTTGGAAATTTTCGAAGTTGGTAACAAAGGTGCTTAAGAAATGCAAAAGTTTGATGTTAGAAAAATTTTCAACTTGTTTCGACTTTGAAAAATTTTCACATTATTTGTACTTTGAAAAATTCTGAAATTGTTTGAAAATAGAAAGTTATTTTAGTCGGAAAAAAATTGATATACAAAAATTAACAGAATTTTTTTTTCTTTTTCAAATTGTTTTTACTTTTAAAAATTTTTAAATTATTTGTACTTTGAAAAATGATGAAAATGCTTAGAACTAGAAAAATTCTGAAGTTTTTTTAAAGTATTTTTAAAAATTCTGAAGTTCTTAAAAAACAAAGGTGTAAAAATAAAGAATCGCAAACGCTGTAAGTTAGAAAAACTTTCAAACAGTTTGGACTTTAAAAAATTCTGATGTTGTTGGTTCTTAGAAAATTTCTCAAGTTGTTTATTATTTCGACTTAGTAAATTTTTTAAATTTTTCGTACTTTGAAAAATTCTGAATATGTTGGTTTTAGAAATATTCTGAAGTTATTTGAAATAGAAAATTTTGCGGCAATGCAACAAATAGCAGAAATTTAGTCTTTGAAACATTTTCGAACTATTAGTACTTAAAAAGAATTCTGACGTTGTTTGAACTTAAAAAAATTTAAAACTGGTTGCACTTGGAAATAATCTGCAAATGTTTAAACATTGAAATTTTTTGAAATTAGAAAAAAAAAACGGTTAATTAATGAGTAGCAGAAGTTTGGTTTTGGAAATCTGCTTTCAACCTTAAAAAATTTCCAAATTGATTTTAAAAAAATTCTGAGGTTGCTGGTACTTAAAAATTTTTTTAAATTAGTTTGACTAAAAATTTAAAAATTTTCTGTACTGAAATGGTTATGAAGTTGGTTGAAGATAGAAAAAAAGGTATATAAGTTGTCACAGAAGTTTGGAGTTTAAGAATTTTCAACTTATTTGGACTTGTTTTGTATTTCGAAATATTCTGAAATACTTTGAACATTATAAATTATTTTAATTAGGAAAAAATGGGTATATAAGAAGTCGCAGAATGTTGCTTTCAAATTGTTTTGACTCCCAAAATTTTTCAAATTATTTGTACTCACAAAACTTCTTTAATCTGTTTTCGTAATATTCCGAAATTGTTTGAACAGAGAAATCTCTTTTTTAGCTGAAATAATGGAAATATGAGGAGTCGTAATAGTTTGAAGTCAGAAAAATTTTCAACTTGTTTGGACTGCGAAAAATTTTCGAATTGCCTATCCCCCCTAAAGTTGACTAAACTTAGAAAAAAAACTGGTATATAAGGAGTAGCAAGTGTTTAATCATAGAAAATTTTTCGAACTGTTTCGACTTCGAAAATTTTCAAATTTTTCATACTTTGAAGAATTCTGAATATGTTGGTTCTTGAAAAATTCTGAAAATGTTTAGAATTAAAAAATTGTTGGCACTTAGAAAAATTCTGATATTCTTAAAAAACTGATCGATAAGGTGTCACAGAAGTTGGAAGTTAGAAAATTTTTTAAGTTGTTTGCACTCAGAAAAATTCTGATGTTAGTAATTGGAAAATATCGGAAGTTGTTGGTACTTTGAATAATGTTTATTTTCTTTTTTGTACTTAAAAATATTTTGAAGATGTGTGAACTTGAGAGTTTCTAAAGTTTGAAAAAAGGTATTTATGGAGTAGCAGAAGTTTAAAGTTAGAAACATTTTCAACTTGTTTCGACTTTGAATAATTTTCAAATTCTTTGTACTAAGAACAATTGTTAATCTGTCGGTTTTAGAAAAGTTTTGAAGTTTTGTGAATATAGAAATTTTTTAAGGTTGGAAAAAAAACGGCTATCCAACGAACAGCTGATGTTTGCTTTCGGAATAATTTTCAAATGTTTTATAATTACAAAAACTCGGATAAGTTTATTACTTCCGAAAATTCTGAAGTTGTTTTAACTTTGAATAATTTTTAAATACTTTTGACTTTGAAAAATTTTCAATCCATTTTTACTTAGAAATATTCTGCAACTGTTTAAACATAGAAATTCATTGAAGATGGAAAAAATAGCTAGATAACGAGTAGCAGAAGTTTGTTCTTGGAAAGTTTTTTTATTTATTTTAACTTTGAAATTTTTAAAATTTTTTAGAGTAGCATTCTGAATTCTGAAGACTAGATTGGAATTTTAGAATTCTGAAGATGTTGGTACTTAAATTTTTTTTTTCAAATTGCTACGAATTAAAAAATTTAATAATTTTCTTTACCTTAAGTGATTATGAAGTTGTTAGAACGTGAAAATTTTTGCAGTTAGAAAAAAAAAAGGTATATAACGTGTCGCGGAAGTTTGGATTTCAAAAAGTTTAAACTTATTTGGACTCATTTTGTACTTTGAATTATTCTGAAATTCTTTGCACATTAAAAATTATTTTAGTTGGGAAAAAATGGATTTATTAAAAGTGACAGAAATATTTTTCATATTGTTTTGACTTTGAGAAAATTTTCAGTGGTAGTATTTTTTTTTAAAAAAAATTCTGTTGATGTACTNAAATTATTTTAGTTGGGAAAAAATGGATTTATTAAAAGTGACAGAAATATTTTTCATATTGTTTTGACTTTGAGAAAATTTTCAGTGGTAGTATTTTTTTTTTTAAAAAAATTCTGTTGATGTACTTAGAAAATGTCAAACTGTTTTGACGTGGAAAATTTTTTTTTATTTTCAAAAATATTTAGAAACTGTTTGAACGTAACAAAATTTTTGAAGCTGAAAATAAATGATAATATAACGAGTCATACATGTTTGGTCAAGGAAAAATTGTTTCGATTTTTGAAAAATTTTCAAGTTGATTGTTTTTAAAAAAATAAGAAGCGACAGGTACTTTGAAAAATTCTGAATTTGTTTAGGCTTAAGTGTTTGCACCTAGAAATTTTTGTAATTTGCTTTGATAAAAATGTTTTAAAATTTTTAAAACTTATAATGATTCTTAAGTTGCTTGTATTTAGAGCATTTTATAAGTTCTTTCTAAATCACGGGTATATAAAGATTCGAAAAAGTATGGAATTTTCAATTTTTTAAGAAAAGTTTAAAATTATTTTTATTTTTGAAAACTTTTCAAGATAGAGAAAAAAATTTTTGTTAGAAAATCGAGTATATATTAAGAGCTACTAAGACCTNCAATATGGAAATGAATGAGGGAAAACTGGATCCTACCACGTGATTTCCCGGCCAATAAGAATGTAGCGTTAAACGTTTAACTCAACCTTGTTGGAAGTCGCATAAGAAGTATAACTTCAGAAAACACTTACTGATAAAATAAGAGCACATATCCCAACTGGTTCCACACGAGTGTAAGCAAATGAATTTCCATCTAAAAATGTTCATTTAATGAGATTAAAATTTATTTAGCTCATAATTATGGATCCATTAAGAATCCAGGTAAAAATAATGAGCAGTAAATGAATAAATGAAATGCAAATAAGAGAATAATGGTCTAAAATATTTACCGACAGGTATAGTTTTCCCGTGTATTTTATCTGCACATCCTGCATAATATCGAAGAGTTTCAAGAGAAAAATTTATTTCTCTAACTGCATGCTTGAATGGCTTGCCATTTTCCAAAGTCAGGAGATTCTAAAAATTTATTTAAACAAAATTTTTATACTGTGAAGCACCTGGAAACTTCGCAGAGGTTCTTTAAAACATTTTCAAGAACAATTAGAGGATCTTAAAAAAAAATTTAAAATTTGCATCAAAACTTCTAAATTCAAAATAATTTTTCTGATTTAAATACGTAATTTTATTTATTTATTTATTATTTTTTTTCCAATACCCACCTTGAGAATGACCTTTTGTCATACAGACATCTGAAGGGCAAATTTGTTGGTCACTCTTTCAGTGGTACCATATTATGTGGGTAGTATTTAAAACAAAAAATTGTTGTAGCAGTTTGTAACTGCTTGATTTTAGTTCAAAGGTAATTTTAAAATTGTGCTACGTATTACAAATTAGATAATCTATGCTACATATATTGAGAGTTTCTAATGCCACCCCCTCCAATAAAAGGCCAAGAGGAAGGCCCAAAAAGAGATGGAAGGACTGTGTGGATGAGGATTTTGCCATCCTAAAAGTAAAGAACTGGAAAACAATTGCTGGGAGAAGGGCAGAATGGGAAAAGCTTCTGAGGAAGACCCAGGCTCACAAAGGGCTGCCGTGCCAATGCTGATGATGATGATGCTACATATAACACAATTTTCACAACTAAATAAACTGAAATTATATTCAATTAACGGTTGGTTTAATTGGAGCTAAATACGCTGTACAGAAGGTTGGAACATAGCAATTTAGCTGTATCAGAGAAATTGAAAATGGTGCAACTTATAAAATACAAAGGTACTTAAAAAATACTAATGTGTATAAATCTACACTTACAAGAAAATAATAATAATAATAGTTACTGAATTCATTTGTATTCTTAAAAGTGTAATTTGGAATTTTATTGCAGTAATTTAAATTACTTAAAGTAAAACGACATCAAAAGTGCAAGTTTTTTTAAAAGTGACCTATATACTTACTGCTAAATATTCCATATCTCGTTCGACCAAATCTGCAAATTTAGATAGCAGTCTACCTCTTTCGTATGCATTCATCGTGCGCCAAACAGATCCATTTTTAAAAGCTGTTTTAGCTGACGCCACTGCTTTATCAACATCAGCCTATAATCATAAAAGTTTATAAATTCATTTAAATGAATCCATTACTCTGGACGAATCGTTCAAATTTCTTCCATAAAATGTAGGAGCTATCTATATGTATTCAGTGATCACTACAAACAGACCAGCTATCTATTACAGCCATGGTTGCTATTTTATTTAAAGACTATCTATAATACATAACAAAAAGCTATTGCAGTTAGGAGCTATCTATAACTCATTAAAGAGTAACGCGATACATAAAAATATTAGTTTCGTTACTGATTATTTTCGAGATTTACAATTAATTAATTTTGGTCATTGTACAAATTAAAATTCAAAAAAAAAAAGTTTTTTTTTATTTAAAGCTTAAATTAATGGAGAAATGATACTTATTCGTATGTATAAACCATAGAAATTGCACTGGGGTTGGACAAAAATACGGAAACACTTCTGTATTAACTTTATGTAAACAATATTTATTTTAACGGCAAATGTTTTGGACGATTTTACATGGCAAAACTGTTGACGCAATTTGAAAGATCAGGCTTGAAACTTTTAGAAATGATGTATTTTTTACCCTTGCTAAATTCGGATTAATCAAAATGAGGAGATGAAGTTATATTAGGATATTTTCTTTCTAACTTTAATGCCGCCAATTTTGAAGTCATTCTATAGGATTGCGATATTTTTATAGGAATGATTTTAAAATTATAGTAGTTTTGAAAAAGAAAAAAAGCTTTTAACTTCATACGCTTATTTTGATCGAGGCAAATTTTTTACGGGTAAAAAGACACCATTTCTAAAAGTTTCAAGCCTAATCTTTTAAATTTTGCAACGGATAATCTTCTAAAACATTTGCTGCTAAAAGAAAGATTGTTTTCATTTACATAGAGTTGGTATCTTATTTTTGTCCAATCTCTGTAGATAATTGTTATATATAATTAAAAAGTAAAACTACATTTATTTCTTCTTATTCTGGGACATGCTCTCTACTTTTTTTTCTAGTACAGTTGAATGTTTTGCAAATCCAAGTAATCGCTTATTTTGCTGCAATTAACATTTAACAAAACGTTCTTACAAAAAGCTGCAATTATTATAAATCAAACAAATAAATGATTTGTTTTAAAAAAATATCGACTTTTAAGAATAAAGAATTGAGATGATTGTAAGGCAACCACAGGGATTAGTAAGCGGAAACTTAGTATAAATTAAAATGAAATTAAAAATACTTATAGCAGTAGTGTAAAGTGTTGATAAATAATAATTACAACAAAAAAAATTATATTGTGCATAAACTAAACTAAAATAGTAAGTTTATTTCAATTAAGTAATAATACTTAAAGTAAATAAGTTCAATTAAGTAATAATACTTAAAATTTGTTTCATTGGAAAATTGATTGATTGTTCTTAAATTTTCTTTCATTAAATTCGAATTGCCACAACTTTTCTTAAAAGAAAATAATAAATCTTTAACTGATTAACATAGCCTTCACATAAAAGTGATAATCATAAAATATTTTCGTTCAACCAATATACTATCGAAAGTTTTTGTATTTTCAATGCTTTTAACTTAAAAAATAGCTGTTGTGGTTTTTGGAGTTTAAAAAAGTAATAAAATTAAAAAAAAAATTCTTTATGAAGTTTAGGAAAATTATCGGGTGGGGGTGGGGGAAGAAGTGCCCCATGGAGTTTTTGGAACCCGTTCCAAATCTTTTCACCTTTTGAGAAGTTTATCGTTTGACATTTAACGGTTGTTAATTGAGTATTTGCACTTCGAGAAGAAGAAGATCAAACATACCCACGCATGTAGCCTATAACGGCAGCACCAGCTGATCGTCGATAAACAAAATGGCGTGTCAAAGTTGAGCTAAGTTTTTCCAGATTCCACATATGTTAGAATGTTATTTAACGTGAAATTAACTAAATACACCGCTATCGCTCATTAAATTTGTTGAAATATATTTCTTTCTCAGATTTATTATTTGTTTATGTATTAAATTGTAACACGTGATATATTTTTGTTTTGTGCAACTCTCAGCTTCGATGCAAAATTTGTTCGCTTATGTTCATCATGGCTTAGTGCCTGTCTTTGTGTTAAGTAAGAAATATATGGTGAAAGAATTGAAATCATTGTGAACGAATCTTTGCGAAGGATTATAGAATGTATCACTTAAAAGAATTGATACTTGACGGATTAAGTTAACTCGAAATAGAATGGAAAGAACAGTTGCTAACATAAACAAAGCCACGTTTTAACAGCCAATCAGGCTCGAGATACCCACACTACGTCACTTGCAGGTATCCCATTGTTTTACGTTTGATTTTTTCTATTGATTCAATTTATTATTTTCATGTAAATCAATATTTAGAATATTTCTTTCAGAAAATTAAACTTTAGGAAAAAAATTAAAATAAATTAGAATAAAATACAATTCACGATTTTTCCAAACTTAGGGAACACTAAATTCGGTTTGATCACCTCACTTTAAATGTAACAATCTAATTCTCAATTTCTAAATATATATTATACATACATTTTTATTTGATGAAAAGGGCCGGTGCAGAATAGGAGGATACTTAGCATTAAAATTAAAAAAATTGGTTTGAAAGCATTTGAATTCTACACAAAATCATCGTTTATTAAAACAAAATGAGGAGAAAAAGATAGCTCTACTTTTCTCTTAAAGTAAAAATGAATTAAACGTATTTGTTTATTTTCGAACGACATCGTCAGAACAGTTTGAAAAGCTCCGTGACGAGAAACTGAGCATTGAGAAAAAAACATACCTCTTATTATGTTATGTTTTGTTTTGTACAGACAATATTTATGTCAAATATTTATGTTTTGTTTGGATTTTAACATTAAAAGGAAGTTAATATAACTCATAGTGCTTCTCCGCCATTATTTTTTGATAATATTGCTTTGTCGGACACTCGTAACAAAATTTCTTACGAAATTCTGGTGGGACAAAAACTTTCGATATTAATAACAGAAATATCGAGTATAATACTATAACGGTTCAATAATAAATAAACAAAATTGAAAAACAATGCTACGGTTTTTAAGAATTGGTAGAAATGAAAAATTCATTCGTTTTAACATACAAAATTTTCACCTTATCCCCTTCTTCAACATCACAAATTTTCTCATTGGTTGATGGATTAAAAACAGGAATCTTTTTCCCACTCACCGAGTTCTGCCATTCATCGTTGATGAAAATCTGAAGAACGAAATCAATTAATAAATAAAATACATTTAATGGACGACACGAAGCAGGCACTTTAATTAGGAGCACCTAACAATTTTATACAAAAGAGCACCTCAGTGTTAGCGCTAAAAACAACTGATCAGAATCGGTTGAATCAGTTCTTGAGAAATGAAAATTTAAAATTACTACAATTAGTAATTTTATACTTCAGAAATTATTCTGCAAATTTGGTTAAAATTTTGAATTATGCCATTCAAAACTATATTTTAAAATGAGATCGAAGTTTGCATACTTAACAATTCTAAAGTTTTCCAGTCGTTGTTAAAATTAGAACCATTTCATTACAAGCACCAAACCGTTTTATTCGAATGAGCGTATCAGTGTTAGCGCCAAAAACATTTGAATAGAATCGGTTAAATAGCTTTTGAAAAATGAAAATTTAAAGCTACTACTATTAGAAATTTTATATTTCTGAAATTTGTCAGAAGATTTAGCTCACATTTTGAATTTTTTCATTGAAAACCACTGTATTAAAATGAGGTAGAAGTTTGCTTATTCAACAATTCAAAGCTTTTCCATCCTTTATTGAAACTAAATGCAAAATTTTTAAAATAACAGTTACAAATTATTTTTCTAGGATTTATAAAATGAATTTAATTATAAGTGCAAGAGGTTTTTGAATAACTTTAAAAGTTTTAGAGACCACGTAAAAAAAGTGAAAAAAGAAAACTAAAATCCAAACAGGTGAAAACAGGTACTAAAATCCAAGGCATGGCCCTGGCATTGGAAGAAAAAAGTATAACATGCTTTAAAATTTTAAACTTACCTTAGTGTATTTTACTTGAACTTGAGGATTAGGTTTAAACGTCATTGTAGAGGTAAAAAAAATGCTGAAATCTACAGAAAAAAAACTTTATATTATTCTTAATGACATTACAAAATCTGTATCCGATTTTTCCTTTCTTTTATATATATTGAGAAGAAAAGCATATATCACGCACGAGTTAAAAATGTCAGGATTTTGCCCTTGACGTTCTCAGTTGCAGATAGCTTCAAATCCCTCAGTATGTCATAATTTTATATATAATGATACTACTCTTCTCATCGTATTTATGTTTCTCAGAAACAAACATTGCCGGTCGAGAAATTACATGATAAATTGGTAATTAAGACGAGAGGAAAATGACTGGGAACGGATTGCCATTTCAGTATGCAGAACGTGAAGAAGAAAAATCTTAATTCTTTTTCATTTGTTTAGCTAATAGGAAGAAATCGTCCTCAATTAAAAATATTATCTTAATCTTAAAAGCAGTTATAAAGGTCTCCTTCAAACAGACAAGAGATTTTACTTCTACCATGTTATATCCTGCTGAGAATTACATCAAGGTGATTTCCAAATTTATTTTTAGTAACTTATAAACAATTTAAAATATTTTTCGTTGTTGCTTCATTTTGTTCATGGGAATAAGTTCGATTGAGCGAAGTCACTAAGTTTTAAAATTTAGGGCTGTAAGTAATTTTAAAACTTGAAATTTGGGATTTTTTTAAAAATACGAACGATCACAAAATTAAAAAATTGGTAACTTTTCCAAAATATTAATTATCTACTTAATGAATATGGAAATTGCGTTTCATATTTTTCTCTTAGTACAATTTCCATTTTCTGTCTGAAATATCATCTATTAGATAAATGTCAGCGTGAACATTGGCAAAACTAGGCCATAAAAAAGTTCGAACTTGCGGTAATTTGTTAAATAACCCTCCTCATAGAAAAGTGATACTAATTCGTTAAGAGGAAACATGAAAAGTCATCTTACTGTTATTGACTACAATGACACTCAATTAATTTAGGTTGGTAGATACATTTGTTAATACCCGTCGTTGAACAGTCGACCCAATTTTGAGTTTACGACTACTAACGTTCAACTCCGTATAGATTTGTAATTTTGAACCTAATCCAGAAGGCAAAGGAACTTCTAGATCAGGGGTTTCCAACTGGCGGCCCGCGAAGCTTTTCTTTTGTGGCCCCCGAACTGAAATATATTTACTGTAATTTTTTTGCGGACAATTTTCGTAAAAAATCTATATGGGTTTAAAATACTTTTCTCGTTAATAGAAACCTAATTTCTTCGTTTCTGTGAAATTTAGCATACCAGCGGTGCAAAAAAATTATTTCTCTGGTTTTGCATCCAAGAAAATATTTATTCAAATACAAAAATAATCGTGTATGTTGGTCTTTTTTTTTTTTTTTTTTTTTTTTTTTTTTTTTTTGTATTTTGAGAAAATAATTCAGCGTGTGTGTATGTATCATAAATTCTCTCGAAAAAGTTCTCCGATTTAACTTTTTTAAAGCACTCATTTTGGACGAAAATATTTACACACACATTTGTAAATTTTAAATGTAAANATATTGATTAGCTGCTTAATGAATATAGAAATTGCGTTTCATATTATTCTCCTTAGGTTAACATGGAGAAAGTACAATTTCCATTTTCTGTCTGAATTATCATCTATTAGATAGATGTCAGAGTATACGTTAGATAGTGCAAACATCTAAATCATCTAATTGGCAAAACCAGGTCATAAAAAAGTTCGAATTTGCGGTAAATTGTTAAATAACCTTCCTCATAGTAAGTGGTAAAGGTAAAATCAGTTCACATAAGCTTGCTCGTTCTTTAATTCTTTTAGAACGTAGTTCAGAAATCAATGGCGGTTAAAATAAAAACAATTAATTATGTATTGAAAGGCAAAATTCTTGGAAAAGTGGTACTAATTCGTTAAGACGAAACATCAAAGTCACCTTACTGTTATTGACTCCAATGACATTTAATTAATTTAGGTTGGTAGACATATTTTTTATAACCGCCGTTGATCAATAGACCCAATTTTGAGTTAACGACTACGAACGTTCAACTCCGGACCCTTCTAATTTTGAACCTAATCCAGAAAGCAAGGGAACTTCTAGATCAACTATTGGGAAAAATTCGCCTTTGTTGAGGTCTTTTTGATGGAACTAACCCTCATTTGCGTTACATGGAGAAGAAAACCGCGAAAACCTCCCACGGTTAGCCTCGCCGCAAGGGGACTCTAATCCACGATCCGTGTACCACTGAGGATATTTTACGTCAGCACTGTGGTCGGTACTAGAACTGGGTGCGGAATTCGTCTGGGATCCATCACTGGGATTCGAACCCGGATCACCTGATTGGAGGGTGAACTCTCTATCCCCTGAGCCACCACGGCCCGTAGATACACATTGAAATAAAAGAAAAAGCTATGCACTAAAAAGAAAAAAAATGCGAAATTAATGGAGTAAATGTTTCCTTTGGAGGAACCGCAAAAAATAGCACACTGTTACTGAAACAATAATTAATTAATTAATGCTGGTAGTATGTATTAATTGCAAAAAATAGCATACTGTTATTGAAGCAATAATCAATTATTTAATGCTGGTAGTATGTATTAATTGAAATTTAAAAAAATAGCATATGTTCTAAAAAGTACAGTCAATTAAGAAAAGATTCTTTTTGGGAAACTGTAAAAAATCGCCAAAAGACGCTTAATTAATCTTGGTAAGGAGTACTACTGGTATAATGGTAATCGGTGTAGTTTTAAAAGGAATTCTACGACCGAATTTCTATAGATTCAGAAAATATTTTTTCTCTTGGTAGCAAGGATAGTGTATTATTAACTTTGTCATGATTTTTAATTAAAAGAAATTTTTTCTCACTGCCACTTATAAATATTTTAAAGAGTATATCTATATGGTCACGCTCTAAAGTCTTTATCAGGGTCTTATAAGAATTCAATTTGTTTTTAAAATTTTGGCTTTAGTTAGATATTAATGATAAATGTATTTTGCTCAAAACTCAAATGTTGAAGATAGTTATATAGCTACCAAGTAAGTTATTATCTAAATATATTTGGTAATTATTAAAACTGCATCAACATTGAGCAGTTTTAATCCCGATACTGAGGATACCTACGGCCTCTAGAAAGGGATATATACCGGAGAAAATTACTTGACACTGGTAAATCATGACTATCATAAGTTGGACGCGAGTAATGGCACCATACTAAGTGACGTTGAATACAGTTGATCTTTTTTCTTTGAGACGAGATTTTAAAAAAAAATTTAAAAAAATGGAAAAAAAACGTGTTTTGCTTGATTTAGTTTAAGACTATCGGGTAGGACAACATGTAACAGTAAATAAAATAAAAAATTTAAATTATTTTAGCTTTATTAGCTGTGCTGGAATATGCCCTTCAGTTTAGTGGATAATGTCGTAATGTTGTTCTATAATGATTTATTAATTACTTCCTTTTTTTATTCATTCCGTACGAAGAACGGGTATTCAGTTATAATTACGTAATATAATAGTTAAATGAGTAAATTAAATAAATTACTAATGTCTCATCTTGAAAAAAATTAAATTATATAATATAAAATTCTAACAGATTGTTCTATTGAATTAGGTATTATAAGTTGTTGACAGACTGTATTCATATAAAAGCACTCTAACAATTTAGTTTATTGTGAGCTATGCAAAATGTGAGATGTAGATTGTGAGCAATGGCAATCGTATGTCTAAGTTTATGTAATTTTTTTTTTAAATTTTTTTTATGTCAGACTTTAATTTTTATGAATAAAAAGAATAATAATTAATGAATAGTTTGTTACTTATTATTTGATGGAATAAGATGTTACCAAAGACCATATGTTAACAAATATCCCATGACTAGCTTAGGGCATCTCCCCACCAAAATTACAGCTGTAGTTTAATATACTATTGATTCAAGAAATAATATTCAGCACTGATTAAAGATTTGAGGTGTACTTCACACCAGAATATTTTAACAAACGATAGCTATTTAGGAAAAGAATCGGTAGTCTTTTTCTTCTTTCTTATGTATTTATTTTATAATTTAAAGTATTTTTTCTGAATGTACCTATAATTACGAAATGAATTTTTTATAAAAAAAAATATATATATTGCGTCATTTTATTATTATATCATTTACTATTCCGTAACCGAAGAAAAAAAATAAAAGAATTTAAACTTTATTTACATTTAAGCCCAACCAATTTGTATTATTTTACTTATAAAGCCTTTTGTTGCAATAGCCATAAAGTAGTTTTTCTTTTTTCTAAATGTAATAAGTATTTGAATATTTATTAGTAATCGAATTCGTTGAGTAGAAGTAAATATAACAGAATAACATAAAATCACCCTAATGAATTATTATGCTTCTGAAAGCTCAATAATTTTAGAGACATGACAACAACATATTCGAAGCATTTGCTTACTTTTTTTTATACTTTTTTTTTCTTGCTTTAACCACCCCTTAAGTTTAAGCTCTTGTATATTATTTAACAAATTATAATAATAACATATTTTTCTTACGTGGCACTATAAACTCGGATAATTTCGAAATATTGAAAACACTTACTATTCATTTTGTTAGGTTGTCTTAAGTAGTATCTCAAGTAGTGATATTAAAGAGTTAGCTATACCTTAAATATTTCATTAGAATAATTTGTATTTTTATAAAAATAAAAACTCAGTTACGTGTAATTTTAATCAGTAACTTTGTAATTTTTAGCATAAACGGTGCTGTGCTTCCGTGTACTGTCATATACAAATGAATGTCATATACCATGAAATACAATGAACGGGAATTTTAGTAGCCCTTTGGGCCACCTCCAGCGCAAATGCAGGATGCGTTACGGTCGGGCATTGAGTCATACAAGTACCTTATGATGCCATGCGGCATTTTGTTCCATAATATTGAGTATTGAGTATATAGTAAAGTGCGGCGAGCTCTCTGCTCATCGCTTATAGCTCTGCGTTTCAATAGGTAAGGCTTAATTTAGCCTATCAAGATTTATATGAGCTCTCAGGCTCTTCTTCAAATTGAACATGCTTCCACCGAGTCCAACAGGGAACTCCTTTGTTCCATAGTTGCTGTATAAACACCGCTAAATCGACTAAACTTGGAGGCTGTCCAATTCATCGTTCTAAACAGGCTCGATCGGTGACAAAACTGGGGATCGAGCAGACTAGGGAGGGGAGGTAATGAGGCGGAGGCGAGGGGCCTGTGAGACTCCTGCTGCGTGTGACTGAGGATTATCGTGTTGGAAATGTCATCAGGATTATCTTGTTGTCATGAGTGGCAACAGATATATTTGAAGGATGTCACGGATGTACTGCCGGTCTGTCATAGCACAGCGGATCAATATTAGTGATTAGATGGAGGCAATTGTGTTGTATGCGATGGCACCGCGTACCATAATACCAGCATATCACCAAAGTCAAACATCACTGGCTGTGGTCAGTGTGCGGATGGGTGACCACTTGGATCAGTCTATGTAGGGACCGAGGGTGTGCGGTATTGGTCCTTGTCGTGTATTTAGCCGTTCGAGGCTATGTTTACGAACTATCACGCCTACGCAATCGAATTGGGACTTTCCCTCTAAACGTTTCAGTTTGTATTCCTCATCTGTTAGCGTTGCGTTAAGACGCATCTTTTGTATTCTAAATTCTAAATGTTGTAATTNGTTAAACTGTTCTATCGTAAAGTGCTCGACTTCGCGTGCTGGTCGTCGGGTTACCGAAGTGGGGGGGCCATCCCCTCTGCAGAGGATCAAAATTGTGATGGCATGTCTTCGGATCATCCTCGGGGATGTTTCCCAGACCGTCGCCAATGGCCCATTGTGCAACTCTAGTGCGACGTAAATGAACTACAACGACAACAGCAACAAGCGACTCTTTGCCCCAGCAGTGTCCCTTTTTTTCTTTTCTTTTTTTAGACCATTCACACTGGATGTGATTTTTTTTACATGCGGAAAAAATTCCATGCGATCGATCACTTGATTGGCTAGTTTTTCGCACATAAATATTTTTCACTAATCAGGGACGGTTGTCCATAAAAATTTGTTGATTCCCTCCTAAGGAATTTTTCCGCTCTTGATTTATAAATCGAAACTTTAAGCACAAAAAAGCATCTTTTTTCTTATCTTCTGATCTTGACTTATTTTTTGAAAATTTGAAATTGTAACTGATTAATCGATATAATACTACTTGCTGTATCGATCCGTTTTGTTGTCTTGCTGCACCCTTTCTGCGCTTCCTCCTACAATTGTCAAATTGTATATTCAATAAATAATTAGAGATTGTAATAACAATAAAAAAGCAGTTTCAATTATATTTAACAATTCTGTTGAATATTTTAGTTTTCTTCCAATTATAAAAATGAAATCTATGTTATGATTTGCGCCGAAAGACTGCAGCTAAGTAGTTTGTAAATAAAATTTGTTTTAGCAAAAATCGTAGATATTTAATAATTGTTAATGAATGTCTCTCATACATGCCAATTTTGCGAATGCAAATCGGCAGAGAACCAATTCGGTTCAGCCGAAGCACCATTACTTCACACCACATATTCTCTTTCAAAGTATGATTTTTTGTTTTATTACTACTTTTACTGTATTCATTTTAAATTTGGTTTAATTTTTATATCATTCTATTTTCATCTAATCAGGAATATTTTGAGCTTTATATTTTTTAATTTTATTAATATTTGATATAATTATTAACATATATCTGCCTATACCATGAAATAGTATTCAATGTAAAAATAATTATGATGAGACTGTTGTTTTTTTTCCATGTGTACTTGATTTGCATAGTTCTTGCAATAAACATCATCAAATTAATTCCCGTCGAATGGGTTAATTTAATTCTGAGACAGTAAAACCAGATATAGTGGTGTCTCATTCCTGCATTATTGCATGATATAATGAAACATTTGTCACTGACTTTTATTAGTATTAAATAAACACACAAAAGAAGAAACAACCCTGCACTGCAGATTATTAAAGCATCTACAGAATAGTTTTCATCGTAATTTTCTTCTTATTGTTGAAAAATGAACAGAGGAAAATTCTTCTTTTTAAAAGATCTCAAATTTGTTTTTGTTAAAAATCAAACAGCTAAATTTGGAGAACATAAAGTAATGAGAATTATATGAAGTGATATGCATGGAAATTACGTATATGAACTTATAACAAAGATTTAAATTAATTTTGTTTGATTTGCTATTGAGCTAACTTTTTTCTCCTAATATCTTTTCCAATTAATGTAATTCATTTGAGAAAAAAAAGAAAGAAAAAAGTGAATTATGTTGTTTACTTGTATGCATTTCACAATGAAGAAGTGAATTAACCAATAATTTTAAAAACAATGATCTGTAATAATTTTCCTCTAATATAGAAATGACTCAGTTATTCAAAAATCTATTATGAAACTTTTTATTATATTTTTGGGTGTGTTTTATTTTCCAAGAATCAAAGATATGTATTATTTTTTATTGTGAAGTTGCTTCAATGAAATTGTCCCTATACTATTATTTTATAAAAAATTAGACTGAAGTATTAATCTCCAGAGTTATTTATGACCTTTACATCTAGGTAATTTTGAAGTATAAGAATTTAAATAAAAATTTAAAATTTACAAAATGTTTTTAAAAAGATCATGATACAGTTTATAAGCATGTTTAAAGAATAGATATGTTTATATTAAGTTGATTTTATTCATTAATAGATGTTTAATAATAGTTATTTATTTTTAGATTTTTATGTTAGGTTTGCTTTTATTATATGTAATTAATACAAGAAATATATTCCTGTCTCTAATCTAAATTATAAAGCTAAGTTGATAGAACACTATTGGCGATCGAAATGGGCTGCAGGTGGCGTAGAGCAGAACTCTTTTCCTATGGCAACACTTCACATGCTTTTCCCATTAGTGTGTGGAAAGTCATAGAGGAAGGAAGTACGTTAGTTTCTCTCTTGATTTTCATATAGATTGAAATCTTTTAACTGGAAAAACTATATGGAACTGAAAATTACATTAAACATAGTTCTAAAGAAAAGTATTATGAAAATTTAAAAAAATATTCTTATTAAATAAAAAGGAAAAATATTAAGAAAAGGGAAATTACTGTAGTACATTCCTATACAACTGAAAAGAGGAGGAGAGGGAAGGGCGAAGGGCTAAAGTCATGAAACCGGTCTCTCCCCAGATGGCGTATTCGAGTGTTGCGATCGCGAATATAGAACAAATATTAAAGAAAACTTTTAGTTTCTTTCTGTTTGTATATTGCAGATTTAGGCTGTATTAGAATTTATTCCGCATTTTTAGTGTTATTGTTGCTTAAAATTTAGTTTGGGCGAAATGAAGTTTTTATGCTTAATTTTTTAAATACCTTTTCGCAGAACCATATGATATGTGTAAATGTGGTTTGGCGAAATTTTTTTACTGTTACTGAAAAAGAAAAAATCCACCTCTGTAAAGGAAGTTTGTCTTTTTCTTATTCACAGGGNCACAGGGGGGGGGGGATTATTCATTTTTAGGCTTTTTCCTACCAATGCAAACACGTTTTAAAATTACATTCACGTGATTTGAAATTACAAATCGCAATTTCTATTTGCACAATTTAAGATTGGGCATCATGTTTTGTATTCATGCAATTTAAAAGCACTATTTTGTTTTGTCTTCAAGTGACTTAATTATACATCGGAATTCGTATTCACGTGATTTTAAAATCAAACATAGAGAATTGTATTCAGACAAAATTAAAATCAGAAACTTCAAGATTCATATACATGCAAATTTAAAATCAAACATCGATATTCGTATTTTAAATTTTTACGCTGTTTTAAATTTCGAGATTCATATCGCCTGATTTAAAACTCGCCCATTGAGATTCATACGCACACAATTTAAATGAATAAATAAAATCTTGAATCAATATTTTTATTAAAACGTTGATATTATTCTATGGATAAATGCTACCTACGTGCACTTTTTTCTTTTGCTTAAATTTCAGATATTTTTTAAATTATTTAAAAAAGTGTTTTTAGGCATAAAATTTTTGGATTTCTATATCCAGCTTTTCTGGTTTTATTTTGCCAAATATATCCCTATGGTATGAATCAGGGTTGGGTTTTTGCTGCCAAAAACTGGTTTTTGACGTGAGAGTGGTAAAAACCTACTGTTTTCTTTAATTTATGGCATATAGCGGACAATACATTATTTTCACATAATTGCCTTTATAAATGAATGTTGTAAATGATTGCTATTGATTTTGCAACTATATAAATGTATTCTTATAGAAGGATATACATTCATATAGAAATATTGTANTCTAAGTCAAGAATTACTGCTATTTTGTCAATTCTTTTTAATTGAGATTCTGTATTTGTTGAAAGTTTTGCATTTTATCTAAGTCTACCTTTGCATATTTTGCTACCTTTTTGTTAATTTAAGCTGAATTATTACAATAATAATCTTTGTTGGACTGTGTCAGGGTTGCAGACAAATTAGAAGTAATGAAGATTGTGTTGTAGATTTACTCCATAAACTCTGCTCTTGGGATAGTGTGTTCTATGAATTTTCTATTTTCAGAAAATTTTAAAATTTATTTTTTATTTATCTTTTTAGGATGCATACATTTGACGAAATGGAAGAAAAGCCTCCAGCACCTCCAGTGAGATTAACTAGCACCAAGTAAATTCAAATTATTTTTCTTGTATTTATATTTTTTACTTTATTTCAATAAAACGTTATGATATTTTATCATTATTATTGATTTTATGATCTAAAATAGTTGTGTTTTAATTTGAAGTTTTGTTAAAGTATAGAAATATAGAAAAGTTATTGAAACTAATTTACTATTTTTGATTCAGAGAACCTGTTCATAGTGTGGATTTAAAGCCTTTACCAAAAGAACCTGAGAGTGACAAGTGGAAACTTAAGATAAAATCTTCTAAAAGTTCGTATTCGAGTTTTCTGTTTTCAAATTCTTTTTTTTTTTTTTTAATGTTTTCAGTAGAATTATGCATTCTAATATTTATCTTTATCTATTTTCCTGTTTAAGTTAAAGTCTTATTCATCATGCTATACTTTTAACTTCTTTTGACTTGAATCTGGGTTAAAGTTTATTTTTATTTCTCACGCCCAGGCTGTGTTTAGTGTTTCAGCTGCATTTGACGAAGTAGAACACGTTTATAATTTCCGTGTATTTGATATTTGTTATCAAAATTTTATTTTTAATCAATAATGTATTTACCCTTCTTAGCAACAACCTTTCAATGCCGGATCAAAAATGAATAAAAATGTAATGAATATTTAAACCACCAAAACGACATTACGTTCTGGTCCCTTTAATAATGTCAGTGCTGACCTTTTTTGAAAAAGTCAAAATTTTACCATACAAGAAAAAAGTGACAATAGAAGAATAAAGTCTATAAGAAATGATCTGTTATAATGCTGTGCAGTAATTAAAACAACAAAAACGATACAAACCGAAAAAAGTTTTCAAAAAGAAATCATCAGTACAAAACTTATTGTTCAGTATGAAGTAATTTAGTTTCACTTCTTCAAGTTTTGCTTTTCCATATGTTTTTCAGAACATAAATTAGCAAGTTTTAGAATTTAATAAATAGCTGTAAAAATTATTTCTATAATGTAAAGTAAAAAACACAATTTTAGATTTTTCATTATTAAATCCATCCAAAAAAAAAAAAAAAACTGTTGAAAAATACTTTTCCAAAAAATACTTATATGTAATAATATTATGTATATATATATTAATATTATATTCCTTGATGATTGCCTTGATAAGAAATCTGAACTGAAATAACTAAACTAGATATTCAACTAGATTTCTTGTATAATGAGGAAGCTAAAGTGAATAGTTGGTTTATACATTATTATAACTAGCTCCATGAGTTTGCCATAATATTGAACAAATATTTTTCTTAACATAAAAACACATTTAAAAAAACTAAAAAAAACAACAAAAAAAAACATGTAAAGTGAAATCAAAAATAAAACTCAGATAATTCCCCTTCACTGCAAATAAAAAGCAATGGACATTAAACCATGCATTATTCCTTTCAGTGCATTGTAGCTTTTGTTTTTATCATTTCTGCCAAATGAAATTTAACTAACAGAAATTCAGATTTTAAACAATCTGATTGTATTCCTAGTTCCAAAACATTAATCGAACAAATTCCACTAAAGAGATTAGTTCAATTTGGTCACCTTTACCGATTTCCAATCTTTTACCAAATCCAATTCAATAATAAAGAATCAAAATAAATTTACATTTATAAAAATAGATTCTAATAGAAAGTTTTAAAATCGACTGGCACTCAAAGTATTTAAATACTAAGTGTTGATTTATTAATACAATTTATTGTTTTTTATAATTTTTATGACGTACAATTGTACTATTAATGCAATTAATTGAATAATGAATAAATAAAAGAAATAATATTTATATATATTCTGAAATGTTTGCAAAATGAGTTTTCTATATCTATTGTGCTAAGAACATTTTGAAAATAAAGCTAATAAAATTATCCATAATTAAATACTAGCAATAAATTATTTGTTTGAAAAACTGGATTTGTAGGTATTTATTTTTTATACAACTGAAAAAAATATGAATTAATCTCTATAAATATTTTCTATTTTTAGATGTTAAAGAAAAGAAGAAAGACCCTGACAAACTAGTAATATCTCCACCTTTGAACTTTGAACATACTTTGCATGTAGGATTTGATCCTGATACTGGAGAATTTACTGTAAGAATTTTTAAGCAATATGTGAAACTTACAATTTTAAATTTTTTATTTTAAAGTTTCCAAAAAGTTAAAAAATATTTTATATCATTTAAAACTATTATTTATAATTAATAATATTACTAATAAAACTAATTGTTTGTATTGTAATTTATTATTTTCTAAACCTAATATGTGATTCCGTTTAAAATAACCATAAAAATATATTGCCTTATCAAAATAATTTTTCATACATTTTAGAAATAATATTCACTTAGTTGATTAAAATTTTTAAAATGAAATTGCATAAGTTAGTCTTGGTTTCTGATCTCAAGTAAGATAGGTCAGAGCTGTATCACTGCAAAGCTCTAAATGTTAAACTGTATTAAATTAATACTTAAAATCAGTTTTAACTAATTTAATGAGAAGTTGTGTAAAAAAGATATTTTTCTCATTCTTATGGAAAGATTGCTTTTATTTCCAATTTATAAGATTCATAAATTAAGCCTTAATCCAATTCTTGAAATTGTAATAAAACCATTTCTTTTTGAAATTCAACATTTCATATTTGAAAAGCACATTTCATTATTTTTTAATGAAAAAAGTGTTTTTGTGGTGAAAGATGCTTTTAAGTAGCAAAAAATATGGTCTAGAATTTCTTTGAAATTTAATGGAATCCTAAAATTCTTTACAATACTAAAAAAAACAACAACAGTCTAAATTTTTCACATCTACATTATAGAATGTGTGTGTATATCTATCTATATGTAATGTCTCATATCAGTCTTTCTATATTAATTCATACCTTAAAATAGATTCTCTTATTAATTTTAAGATGTAGAAATCGATCTTTTACAGAGAGCCATAAAAAGTCTGATTCAAAGATAATTTTCTGAAGTTAATAGGTTGAAGTTAATAATTTTGGGAAATATGCTCATTAAGGAAATCTCGAAAATTCCCTATAGTCTACATAGCATCATTTGTTAAAATGAATCAAAATGGTTAAATATTTTCTTTTGGATGCGTTTGATTACATTAAAGTTTTTCTTGCAACCCATTCCCTTTCACATTCCCTGAATAAGAGAGGGAACGAATCAATTTCGCATGGCTTTTTCATATGTAACCGCTACTAAAACTAAGGCCCGAATGGCCAAACCCTGAGACCTTGATTGGGGAAACCTCTTCCTTACAGAATTTATCATAAGATTCTAAATAAAACTTAGAAGTGTTGTACAACTATTTGTGTTGTCTATGGAAATTATTTGTATTTTCTTCAAATAAGATAGTGGAAATCTTACACACACGCATATCTATATGTATATATACATACTGATATTTCGACTAAGTTGCCTAAGCACCGGCAAGAATCTGAAAACACAGATTTTACTGTATTTCAAGAAGACAGCACTTTTAGAATATTAATTTTATAAAAATAAACATAGTTAATATTTGTTTTAAGATAACTGATTAAAGCAGATAATTTTGATTCCATTTTTAAATGATATGATTTGTTGTAGCATTTTTTCTTTAAAAAAAGTTTTCTCTTTTAAATTAGACATGACTTTTTATTTCAATATTAGTATTGCATGCAACAAAAATAATATTGCAATTTAAATAAAACTTTGGCTTTGGATTAATTTACCCAATTGCATTTATACTAACTATATATTACAAGTGTTGGAATTTTTTCATTTTAAAATTGTAAATCAGCATATTTTATAAACATGTTTTTTTAATTTTTGGTTTTTAGGGCTTACCAGAAACATGGTCTATGTTGCTGAAGAACTCCAACATAACAAAATTAGAGCAGAAAGAAAATCCTCAAGCTGTTCTTGATGTTTTGAATTGGTACGATACCTCCACTAAAGAAACGGAAGATTCTAAATACATGACTATCAATAAAACTTTAGGTAGGTTGTCATTTAGAGGACATATCTTTTAATTGCACATTATTTCATCTATTAATAATTTTAAAATATTTAGTTTTAAAACACAATATGCTGTTTATTTTTTTTTAATAGAAAATAAGTACTAAACTTCATTATTCCGAAATTCGTGTTGATGTGGAATTATTTAGTAAAAATTTTTTTAAAAAAAATGAAACTCTTATTATATATTTTGTTAAATAATTTCATCAGATTTAATCATCTAAGTTTTTGACTGCATTTTATTTATTTATTTACTTACTTATTTTTTTGAAGTTAGTGACGAGAAAATGAAAATTACTGTATTGAATTAATCTCAATTTTTTTTCTCTTTTAAACTTTATAATAATGTAAAAAAAAAGTTATGAAAAAAATGTATTTGCATTTGAATAAAAATAATAATACATTTGAAACAAAGTTAGTTCTTTATTAATTAAAAAAGTTAGAAGTTTATCAGATTATTTTTGAATATAAATTATTAATTTGGGTAATTACAAAAATATTTTACAAATTATTCCTCTATAGCTGAGCTTGTGAGTCTTTGGTGTCCAAGTAGGTGGATTTTAAATCTGTGTTTGTTAATTAAAAAACTTTTTTTTTTTAATTATTTGTTTTTATCCTTTACCCAATGCATGACTTAGATTTGTTTGAAATCTATCCAGTCATTTCTAAATGTGCATCTTGAGTCAAAGAAATAGCTGTTTTATAGATATTCCATCAATGTCTTTCTTATTTAAGTTATTTTTTTGCTGAAATTACTTTTTTTTTATCAGTAATTAGTAAATATAAGTAGTTCTAGATAATGTTTTGCATTATGTAAAAAAAAAAAAAAAAATTTTTTTTATTCTACTAAGCTTTTTGTTTTGTGACCATTATTTTTCATGTAGTAAAAGGACTCTGACAGTAAAAAATTATTTTTCGTACTTTAACATTGTAATGATAAATTGTTTGTGAATTTAATTTTGCATAGCTATATTCCATTGAGTTTATTTATGGTGATCTTTGTATTTCATTTTGAAATTTTTTTTTAATGCCTGCTTTTGTTATGAACAACAGATAGCAACTGGAATCTTTTTTCTCATATAATTGAAATTTGCATGATGATATGTATCACAGCAGTTTAAATATTTTTCCTTGTCATTTTTTTCAGGTTTTTCAAAATATTTGAAATTAAAACAAATAAAAATAATATATTTTATAAAAAGGTAAAAAATGTTATAAAAGTTTGTGCAGATTTTCTGCAATGACCTTTTTTAATTCTTAAATCCTTGAAAATAAAGTCATTTTGTAAATAAATATATCAGCAAAGAAAAAGCAAAAATGCTATCATATCTTGCCAAACTAACAGAAGGTAGTGGAATTGAAAACAATCTGTTAATTTCCAACATAATCACCCCCAAGTATCATTATTCAATTGCACTGAATAACTGGTTTTAAAGTTTTTCATTCTACTTTCAGGCTCTTTAGCTGAGTTCAGTAGTGTATTTGTTTTTCCCTTGCTTAAATATTAATTTGCATTTCCAAATGAGCATGCATTTTCAAGATTTTATCAAATTAAGTTTCTAAAAATGTAAATTAAGTACGTTCATTATGGAATATTCTATATACTTATATGGTAGTTGAAAAAACAGCACATATAAATTTTTTTTTCTGATGAGAAAAATTTTTTATTTTTGAAAATCAGGTAAAAAGGAAAGAACTTAGGTATGTTTTATGGCCATACTGCAAATTCATGGTGTTGAGAATTGCGTGCAGATTTTTGTTTTGTTAGAAATTGCGTTTTTTCTTTCAAGTGTATTTTTTGTTGATTTGAAGGTGATTTTCACTGCTTTTATTTAAAATTCTCTGGTTTTTATAATATTTTTGAACTTATAACTAAATTTTCTCTATTATTATTTTAAGAAAAATTAAAAATTTTATCCTGTTTATTCCTGAATGGCTGCTAGGAGACAAATTTTTATTCCATTTCACTTGAAAAATTTGTAAATCTCCAATTTTTAATCAAAACATGTCATTTTCCTGAAATGAGTTTTTAAATTAAAAATGATTAAGATAAATCTCAACTTATTTGTAAAATTTCACTTTTGCAATTATATTTTTTAATGATTTATTTTTCATATTTCATTTGAATTAAATATGGTTTTTGCAAAAGCACCCTCAAGATTGTTATGGGAATATTTTGTTAATTAATCCATTGTTCAGGGGTAGAAATTTTAACAGATTCCAGTAGTGTTTCTACTTTTCCCAACAATACCAGATTTTGTCTTCATTGTATCTGGGCAATAAGTGTCTATGAAAAAAAATCCTTTGTTTGTTTAACAGTAATAAATATGAACTTATACTTTGTTATTTTAACCTAGAAATAAAATATGTTAATTTTTTAATTTATTTTAAGGAAGTCAATTAATAGTAAAAGTAGCTATGGTAGTAACAATTAAATAGTTCTAGTTTATTATTCCAATTAATACACAACAAAATTTATGCCCAGCTTATTGTTTGTTTCAAACGAAAGGGAGAATGAATACAAATATGACACTGTAATATACATATATGCAAAAGGTAATGGCAGAATTATTTTCTCTGAGTTTTACTCTGAATAATAGTAATATAAATTGTATACATATCCCTCTATCCCATGAGTTATATAGTTATACACATTTGTGTTAAAACACTTCTGTATTAAAACTTGTAACCAATGATAAACAAATATGAATGAGACAAAAATAAATAGATTAAAAATAAATAATATACCAAAAAAATAATAAAATATCTGAATGTTAAAATAATATTTATAGCCTATCTAGCTATTTAGGTTCAAATTAAGAGCATAGTTTTCATTAATTTGTTTATAAAACTAAAACTTTATCTGAATCAAATCACAAAGGAAAGCTAGTTTAAGGAGTTCATGTGAAATAACTATATCTAATTAATTTGCCTAAATTTTCACTTGGAGTTGGAGATGTTGATGATTGTTATGCTTAATCTAATCTAAATATCTTAAGTGATTAATTAATATGCATTTATTTCAATTTAAACTTTTTCTCTGATATTAAGTTTCCTTAAATTTTGTTTTACTTTCAAAACATATTAAATGTTTCTTTATTCTTGAAAATTCATATTTTTAAAAACTTCTTATAATTTTTTTTCTTCCTATTTGTGTAATTTTACAAGAAAAAGATTAAGACTTTTTTCTCATGCTTATATCTCATCAAAATTAGATTAATACTTCATTTTTAAAATATTTTCTTCAATGTGTCTTAGCTTTTTTATTGCTTGCATTATGGCATGCTTTTATTTTAACTGTATATCTGTTTAAATTTTATTTTTCTGATATTAATAAACATTAATGTCTTAACTTCTTGTATGACTTAAACTAATCTGTAATATTATATTTCTTCATATTCTAGATCCCACTGTTGGCATTAGTTACTTTAGTGATCCAGGCTCTTGTAATGCCTTGATGAATTTGCCTAGTGTAAGTGCAAATTTATTATTTTTGAGTTTAATGTAAAATAAAATCTATCTTTTATTTTCTTAATTTTAATTGAAAAAATAGCTAGTCCTATTCTAAACTAGTCTAGTTCTTTAGGGTCAGGTGGGGTAAAGTGGGTATTTATTAAAAAATATCTTTTCTCTTAAATTGAAATAATTCGTTTATTATTTTAGAGACATTTATTGGGATTGTGGCAAACAATTTTATTTCAGTTTTAAGAATTAATCAGAAGTTTAATCTTTACTTATACAGTATGTTAGTTTCTGTTTCTGATGTATTTTCTTCTAATATCATTAAAAGCTATTAATTTTAATTTAAAATGATAGGGTGCATAAAAATTTCTTCATGGAAATATATTTGACATAGAAATTCAAGAATACATTTTAAAACTCTATTTATTATGGATTGTTGTCTGAGGTGGGGTAAAGGGAGGTATATGGTTAGGATTAGTTAAGTGTTGTATAATAAGGATGTTTTTTTAACTTCTGTGTTACTAGCTTTAGAAAGTATCTAATGCTCTACATTTTATAAAAGGCTAAAAATAATTTACTTATTTAATTACAACCTTTCATACTAAATTTAACTCTGATAACAAAATTTATTTTAAATTAATTTTTTTAAGCAAAAGAATAATTTAGGGAAAATAACAATATGACCGACATATTACACAATAAAAAGAATTCCCAAAAAAGCATAATGGTACAACTTAGTCAGCATATTTAAAGGTATGAGTTTTATCATAAGTTTCTGGTTTCATATAGCAGTTAATTCATGCAAACAAATTCCTTCAAATATTTTAATGGATCATCATGGGATACTAAATACCCTAAATAAAATTTAGCACTACAGCTATTAGTTTTTACACTCTCATTTATGTTACAAATATACAAAAACTACTGAACTTTTCTTGCTTTCTGTTGAAATTATGTTAAGTTCAGCAAAATATACTGCATCCTAAGTGAAACCTAGTTTTGATAGTCATGAACATTCATTCTTTAATTTAATTATATGAACAAAATATTTTTTTAGCATTTTTTTCCGTCCGGAAAGGACAAAAAAAAACATGACTTAATGATAATTCATATATCCAAATTCAAAAGTTGAGTGATATCCAAATCAACTTCAGATAGCAATCAGACGGCTTGCAGCAAAACAGAGAACTATATCCATCTCATTTGCTGATCATAAGGTTCTCTCAACTACTTCCAGACCAACCATTTCGTAACATTCAAATAAAATTACAAAAGTCTCAAAAAGTTACAAATGGCTCAAAACAACATTGAATTCAAAGTTTACCACCCACAGTCTACCAATAGATATAGGTTGTCTCCAGAACAAATAATTGAATCAAGCCGACTTTTCTTTGCTCCAACTAACAAATGTGGTCTTCCATTGTGGTAATGTTTTCTTTTGACGCATGGGCAGCTTTGGCTCATCAAACTGCATCTTATTTTTCTATTATAAAATAAACTGTTTTGAACTAGAATCTATTAGATTTTTTTTCTATCATCTTTCCTGTTAATTATTACATGTGAACAAGAGTATTGTGATATAAGGCTTCAGCAGTACAGGTATCCCTTCAAGCAGTTTAGTTTCTTCAGATAAATGTTGGTTTCGCAACTCCAGAGTGCACTAATGATATTTTTTGTTTTTTGATGCGTTAAATTGTTTTTCTCTATTTTAATTTAATACCCATTACTTATCTTCCACTTCATTTTATTGCCGTAAGTAGGTAGTATCATTTAGTAGTAGTATTATGAAGTTTGTCATTGCGCTTTAACTTTTTATTCCCGTATGTTCCAGTAAAGTAACATTGTTGAACTTATATTTTTATTACATATTAACAAGGTTTGTGATTTTTTTTTAAAAAAAATACAAAGAAACCCAATTAATTTGATTTAAATCAAATTTTTCTTTTCTTTTCGTAAAAATATGTAGCATTTTACTTTATAACTTATTAAATTTTATTAATGTAATTATAAATGTATTATTAAAAGTTAATCTCAGTAATGCATTTCAAATTATATGAACACATTAAAAATATGTTATAGTAAAATATATTGCACATAAATGCATGATTCAAATTTATTGAAAATTGTAGAGAATATATGAATATTAACTACCGAATAACAGGCTTGTAATATTTTCTTAATAATATTTGAGAAGACAAAATAAGTTTTGTTGCCTTACCTTAACTGCAAGTTGTTAAGAAACCTTTCTTCCATTTGTTTAAAAAAAAAAAAAATTACTAATGCTTAAAGATACAAAAATATATGGATATTTCGAAAACTTGCAATATTAAACTAAATGTGATTTTGAAGATTCTATTTTAAAACTCGGAGTGAGTAAGATTTTCATTAGCATCCTGGTTTTTAAATAATCCATATTTAATAATAATATATCACGGATGCATAAATATCTGTATAAAAAAACTGCATTATTTGTTTGCTTGAATCTTAAAGAATAATAAGATTTTCAAAGTGTTTAATTTATTGCTCATTGAAATTTTTTAACATAGCAATATATTTACAAAAAGTTCTAAAACTATGAGAATCAAATCTTATATTAAAATGCTTTGTAAATTCATATTGAATAGAAGATGATTTCTTTAGAAAAAATCATTAGAATTAAATCAATGGTTTTTTAAAAAAATGATTGATTTAAATTAATGAACTCTGCATGTTAGTGCTCTTACATCAATTGCTTTTTCATATTGTTAATTTTTGTAGCATCTATCAATAAATTAGTTGTGTTAATGTTTATTGAATATTGTTAATTTAAATATTTTTATTATTACAGCAACCAAAATCAGATGTAGTACAGTTTAAACATGTAGAAAAGAAAGAAAGTGTTGAAGTAATTTCACAACCACCATCTAGTCCTGAAAGCACTATTGTAAGTCTATTTTTGCTTCCGTCTGTTGTCCTCTTTTTTCTAAGTTTATTAAAAACTATTGATTAAAAGAATTAGGCTAAGTTTAGGTCATTGCAGTTTCAAAAGAGTGAAAATCGATAAGATTTACTTGGCTCCAGTTCAAGTTAAAATATATATATATATATTTGTAATCTTCTGTCTATAATCTGATCTAAATCTATAATCTGAAAAATTCGAATTATAATTGATGTAAACAAAAATTTAAAAATTACTAGTGTTAAAGATTTAAAAAGTGTTGTTCTTCTGAATAGGATGGATTTATCGAAATTATGTTAATAAAAGCTTTTATTTTATATTCTTTTAACTTACCATGAACACATAATATTGTGCTAGATGTTTCAGAAGTAAAAAAGCCTTTCTTCATGTATTAAAATACAATGTAAGAAAAATTGATTTGAGGGAAATGTTAGATAAAAGGGAAAACAAAGGAAAAAACATAGACCTTGAAACAGTATCCAGAGACAACATAAAAAAGTAGTCTAAAGTAGAAAATTTTAAAATTTTAACATAAGTCACAGAACAATCTAAGTCCTTGCAGCACACCTTATATCAAGTCACGGTGAAAGTTTTAGATGCTAATAATTATTTTTCTTTTATTATGTAAGCTTATATATATATGATTTGATATTTATCTAATTAAGGTTCTGCAGTGGTTAGGCATCAATCATGAGACTTTCCAGCTAAGGCTGTAGTCAGACACATCATCTGCGGACAAATAATTAATAATAACCAGTTTAGTTTGATGCGAGAAGTAGAAGGGTGAAGACATTAGAGGATCTCGTTCCTTAACTCATACCTATTTCATATTATCATTGTAAATAGTCATATGTTGATAATATCTTCATTTTTGGTTATTAATGAATAATTGTTTGATAAAATGCTTCAGTGGATAATGCCTAAAATTGTGTATTCATAACAAGTATATTGCAAGTTCCTTTTTTTCTTTCGCAATTTTGGTTTGTAGATTAATATAGAAATGAAGCTGTGCTCCTTTTTTTGAACTCACATTTCAGACTGTTTCTATTTTAATAGACGTGTATTTTTAGCTATGTCCATTATCGTAAAACACATTTTGAGCTGTGTCTATTTTCTTAAACCCACATTTCGAACTCCATCCATTTTCTTAAACATGCATTTTGAGTTGCCTTCATCTTTTTAAAACATTTCATGCTAAATCCTGACTTAAATACTCACCAACAAAAAAAAAAAAAAAAAGCTATNCAAAAAAAAAAAAAAAAAAGCTATTTTTTCTATAAAAAAAAAGAGAGAGAGAGAATGAGTTTTTTTATGAATAAATCTTGTTAATACAATAAGATCTTGTTCTTTTCTCCCTAAATAATCATAAATTAATCAAAATTAGATACTTTAATTTAGTATTTATTACTTTCCCACTCTGTGCTTAATTTTCTTAATTTGAGGGTTTTTTTTCTCTAGCGATTGTCTTTGTATAAAAATATTTGATTTTGACAAACAATGTATATGAAAGAAAACCTTTTTTTTAAATAAAAGTTTTTAATGATAAGCTACATTTTAAAAATTAATAAAATAGTGAATTTATTTAAAAAATATCATAATTTCATCTTTTTTTTGTTGCAATATTTCCTTAAAATAATTTGAAAATTTAATATGGGAAGTAATTGTAATTGTAAAATGAAATTTTTTTTATTTTACTTATATATTTTTTTATTTTATTTTAACCACTTAATTACAATAAATCAGCCAGAACATCAATAAAAGATTAAATATGTTCATTTTTTTAGATTTTTGTTTTTGCTTAGCAATACACTTTATGAGCATTGACAGCTCATTTTAAATCATTTTAAGTTCAATAAAATAAAATATATTTTAGGATAAAAGTACTTGTTAAAAATTTATAACCAAATAAAATTTTGAAGTCACTTTATCCTAATTCTGCATTACATTTAAAAATAAAAAATACAAAAAAATAAAACATAGCTTAGATTTTTATTTAGAATCCAAGTTTACATAAATGAAAGGTTAATGTGTATACACAAGCACAATTAATAACAATACTTAAATTAAAACTTTCTTTTCAGTATATGAATCCTTTAGTAGAGGAAGAGCTTGTTCGGACACCTTCAGATGTAAACACTGAAGTTCAATATACAGAACGCACAGTATCTAATAACAATAACGTGTTTACCAAAGTAAAGAAGAAGAAAATAACTGATGAGGAAGTAATTGAAAGATTAAGAGATATCGTATCAGATGATGATCCAAATAAAAAATATCAGAAATTGGAAAAAATTGGACAAGGGTAATATACATTCATGTATTTTACCTCAAGGGGACACACAATATTTTATAATGTATTAGCTTCATAACATAAAGATTTTCCTGTGCTCTGCTTTTACAAACAAAAGCATTGTTTTATTACTATAAAGTCTTCTACTCCTCAAAGTAAAAATAACAATTTGAGTGGCAGAACAAAAATAGAGACTTTTATTATTTATGTTTAAATTTTGTTTTCTTAACTTTAATATATGGACTTTTTCTGATAGTATATATTCAGAGGTGATTGTGCTCCGGAAAAAATATGGATTTCCGGATTTTTCCCTAATTGCGCTCTGGAAGTCTTAGGTCCAGAAGTTTTAAGAAATCATCGATCACATTTATGTATAAAAATTCTTGAATATTTTATTTAAAAATGTTAGAACTAGGCCATGGCACAGAATAGATCAAGATGGCAAAAACTTATTGGGACGGNGTATATGAATCCTTTAGTAGAGGAAGAGCTTGTTCGGACACCTTCAGATGTGAACACTGAAGTTCAATATACAGAACGCACAGTATCTAATAACAATAACGTGTTTACCAAAGTAAAGAAGAAGAAAATAACTGATGAGGAAGTAATTGAAAGATTAAGAGATATCGTTTCAGACGATGATCCAAATAAAAAATATCAGAAATTGGAAAAAATTGGACAAGGGTAATATACATTCATATATTTTACCTCAGGGGAAACACAATATTTTATAATGTATTAGCTTCATTGCATAAAATTTTTCCTGTGCTCTGCTTTTACAAACAAAAACATTGTTTTATTACTATAAAGTCTTCTACTCCTCATAGTAAAAATTACAATTTGAGTGGCGGAACAAAAATAGAGACTTTTATTATTTATGTTTAAATTTTGTTTTCTTAACCTTAATACAGTAGAGCTCCGATTATCCGAACTGCTCGGGACCGAATGTGGTTCGGATAACGAAAAGTTCGGATAATTGGAAAGTTGTTTAAAATCTAGTTTAAATGATTATTATTTATGACCTAACTTCCCTTCACACTTTTTCTAGGCCTAAGGACTGGCAGTACTATCTAAGCTCTGGCGTGTTTTAAAGTTTTTTTTCCTTCAATTTTTAAATAATTTTTTTCTTACTTTTTTTTCATTTTGAATTATTTTTATCATGTTTCAGCTTTTTATAATTTTTTTGCCAATTACTGACTTTATTAAATTTTTCTTTATTTTCCATTGCAAAAGAAATACGGCAAAGACTTTTGTTTCAAAGAAGATGCTCTTTTTTGAGCAGCCTTAGTCTTTTTAAATGAATCAACTGAACTGGATCAACATCATTTTGAAGTTCTAACCAATTCATTGCAATATCTAATGAATTGCATGCTTCTATATGAGAAGGTCCAATATCTTGAACTTGATCACCGACTTCAACCTCTTCGTCTGTGGAGTTCCGATTTTCATTCAAAATTTCAGCAACAATTTCATCATCATTGAAAATTTGAAATCCTGGATCGTTTTCAGTGTCTCGACAAAAATCTTCTATTTCTTCTGCTTTATAACCTGGCATCTTTTCATCCGAGAGATCTACTGGTTCAGAAACTTCATTTTCTTTGGTTTTTCTGTTAAGAATTTTATTCCAAGATTTAAGATTCCAAGCACTATAATCACTAATCATTAACCATAAGTGACAACCAACCCATCCCCCAATTGTAGAAAGAAAGAAAAAGAAGAAAAGCGGATTCGGACATAGTTTGGATAATTGGACGTTCGGATAATCGGCGCTCTACTGTATATGGACTTTTTCTGATACTATACATTAAAAGAATCTATAATTTTAAAAGCTTTGGATATTAGAACATTGTTTTCAGTTTAGTAACGTACTGTTATTTCTTTCTTATTAATGAACTGTAATTTTTTTCCTTACTTTATTATTCTATACATAATCAGTATATTTATTTTTAGTATGATCCATGGTATGCTAATCCTCCGATTTTTTACAAATTTCAAGTCCGTTAAAGATTTCAGGTTTCTTTGTCATTTCTTGTCCCAAAGGAAATTTAGATAGATTTCTAGTGCAATCATAGTGGGTGCAGTGCTGAGTTGCTATGTAGAAAAAATGCTATTTATGTCCATTTTTTAAAATATTTCTGAATTTTATAGCCTTATCCCATTTGTTGATCTTACTCAAATAGAATTTCTTTTTTAAATCAATTAATTTTGTAGATTTTTTTAAATTGTAAGAGGATCCTGTATATTTTAAACACACAACACTCCGCCATGGCTATGAACCTCGACCCATTTAGAGCTCTAATTTTTAACGGCTATGGTAGGAGTGCCATGTAGTTTTGACTCTGGTCAGCACCAAAGCTGGTACCTCTCCTTCATTACTTCCACACCACAATCAGTAAGAGGACAGATTTAATGTGCACCTTCCTGCATATACCGGTTGTTGCCAAGATGCATCTAATTTTCATATGCTGTGAAACTTGAAAGTGAATCCCTATATATAACATAAAGATTAATTGTGAAGGTTTGGAATATACATTAAATAAATTATCACTCTCACTTTAAAATGTGAAAACTACTAAAAAATTTTATAAGCGTCTTATAATGTATAAAATTTAGGATGAAATTTTAAAAAGTAATTCCTAACTTTTAAATTAATATAAACTTAATTTATTTTCTATTTAATTAAATTAAGCAGGCCTTATTGTTAAAAATAAAAAAAAAGTTTTTTTTTTTTTTTTTTTTTTTTTTTTTTTTTTTTTTTTTTTTTTTTTTTNAATTTTGTTTTTTTTTTTTTTTGTTAAATTTTTTTTTTATGAAGCAAATTATGTTAATATTTGATTTCTCTCTCTTTATGTAGAGCTTCTGGTACAGTTTATACTGCAAAAGAAAAGTCAACAAGCTTGGAAGTTGCTATTAAGCAAATGAATTTAGCTAATCAACCAAAGAAAGAGTTGATTATAAATGAAATTTTGGTGATGCGTGAAAAGAAGCACCCCAATATTGTAAACTACCTAGATAGTTTTTTGATTTGTGATGAATTATGGGTGAGTTTTGTTTGTTTTTGTGCTTTTTATTCAATATTTAATTGATCTTTAGTGTTAAAATGTGTTTTTTTAATATGTAGTTTTGAAAGTTTGAAATTTATTGCATTTTTGATAAGTCAAAAAAGTGTAAGTTGCTTGCATTATATTGAGAATAAATAAGTTTTATTAGATTCAGAAGTTTGGGTGTTATTATAATAATAAGTCACATCGGACCATAACTTAAACATCTTCATCTAAAAGTGTAATAATTATGTTTTAATTTTCAGTTTAATTTATATTGTTAAAGTGTGAACAACACAATTTTTTTTTTTAAATTTCACAAATGTAAACTTTTGTGCCATTAAAACATCATTTAAGAAAAACTTTGTTTCAATGTAAAGAAAGAAGTAACTAAAGATCTTAGTTTTGCCCTGTGAGGTTTAAGGGAGTCATTTTCTATTAATTTAAACTTTTGAGTCCTGATGTAGTTGGTTCAATAATAGTGATTTTGATATAAAAGATTTGAGTAGAAAAATTAAAAAATGCATAAATTTAGTTATTAATGAATGAAGATATGTAAAACATAAAAGAAACTTTTAAATTGTTTACACGAGAGCTCTATACTGCGAGAGAAACTATTTCTGGCAAATTTTATTTCATCTTCCTTGGTATTTTTGAATTAAGGGAAAAATTCTGACAAATCTGGAGTAAACAATGAATTTTCCAATACTGAAGAAATGTTTTCAAAGTATTAGAATGCAAGCAATCTTAGGATCACTTCCTTACTGAGTTATCCTGTCACAATTTGTTAACATTTTGAAGAAGAAAAAAATATTCCGTTTGTGAAACTTTAGTTTACTCTTGGTTTACTGGAACTCACTTCTCCTGTAACTTTACATTATTTATGCTGTGGAAAAAGAATTTACCATAAAGAGCTTCTGCCGTTGTAATTTTAATGAACAATATTATTATGCCTCAAAGTCACTGAAATAGTTCAAAAGCAAGGAAATTTAGTTTTATGCATAGTAAAACTGGAAGTCATAGAAAGTGGGCAGAAGTGCCCGTCAAAAACTGCTTAGAAACATTTTAATGGGGTGGGCGTCAAGTGACATCTGGAACATCATTATTCCTTATTGTGTTTTGACAACACCTAGTAAATAAATTCCCAGCTTAAGAGTCGAAGTTCAGTTCGTCTATCGCTGTCAATAAAGATGTTTGTGTTTTAACATTAGCTTAGTTTTTAATTTGTATTACAAGTATTATTATAATCAGGGTTCATTCTAGACTAAAAAAAGGGCAGGGTGCTAAAAATTGAAAAGGGCACTNAAATCCTTTCTTACAGGAAAGTGGTATCTTTTTGGAGGGGACACAACAGGGCGCATTTAATTATATCAGGGCAGGATAAAAGGAGTAAAGGGCAATAGGGCGGATATTTTATACCAAAAGGGCATAGGGGGCGGGCCGCCCCGTAAACCCCGCTTAGAATGAACCCTGTTATAATTAACGAATATAGTTACCTGTATCATTGTAGTTACATGTGGGTGTATCTTACTCTACCACCTGTTTCAATCATTGAAACATGGCTTCTTTTAGTAACTCTACCACTGTTTTGCGGAAAGCAAAAAATTAGGTCAACTCTTATATTATCTTTAAAGTCCAATTTCTTTTGATGAAGAATTTAGCAGCTGCCAGAGAGGAGAAAATAAAAATTAGTGTTTAGTGATGGACAATAATTTGAGTAAGCAGTTGCAATCACAGTAAGGCCCCAAATTTCACAAAAATGATTTAAAACTTAATTGTACTTGCGATATATCATATTTTAAATTAATCAATGATTTTGTTTAGTACTTCTATGCTTATTTTTTCAAAAAAGTTTTCACTAAGTGTGATTAAAGTCATTAACTTTTAACAGGTTATCATGGAGTATCTTCCTGGCGGTTCTTTAACTGATGTTGTCACAGAAACTTGCATGGACGAAGGACAAATTGCTGCTGTTTGCCAAGAAGTAATCATGTTTAAATATTTTTAACAACTTAAGTTTTTTAATTATCACTTTTGCCCCTAATAACTAAATTTAGCAAAACAGGAACAAATCCTTCATTTCACTAAAAATGGCTAAATATTAGCTTCTTTCTTTTGCCTTTTAGTTTAGTCAAATCTATTGTTAATTGTGAAAAAGAATCCGCAGAACAATTTACTTTAATTATATCTTACACAGGGTCTCCACGGTCCTTGAGAGTCCTTGAAAGTCCTTGAATTTTTATTGTTGCTAAATTTAGGTCCTTGAAAGTGCTTGAAAAACGTCTTAGGTCCTTGAAAAACTTGATAGATCCTTGAATTTGTCCAATACTGCCGGCGGTCCTTTTTATAAAACACCAGCGGATCTTTCTCGTTCTTTCTGTTTTGTTCCCGAGCTCTCTCACGTGGTTTTTAACGCCACCGTTTCTAACCGGACCTAGCGTCTGCCAAGCGCGCGGAGCACAGCAGACAATCAATGCGTTCGGGGCGAGGCTCCACTTCATCATCTTTCTTAGATCTTCTTTTTTCTTATCGAAACTGGAATACTCTCGAATTTTGTAACAATGTGTACCTTGTAGTTTTCAATAAATTTTCCGTTTTACCATCCGCACTTGTCCTTACGTTTGCGTCATTTCAAAACTTTATTGTAAAGCGTATTCGCAAAGGCACGGCTTCGTATTTGTGTTATGTAGTTTAGACTAGTTATGCCTGGGAAGTGCTATTTTAATCCCCAATGGATGGATAATCAAGCTTATAAAGAATGGATTTTATCGATGCCCGAAAAGAAGTTCAGAGCCAAGTGCCGATTATGCATGAAGGAGATCGATATCGC